GACACTGTCGTTTTGTGGTGTACATACCTTGCGTGGGGTTTTGCATAAAAGCCGAGTGTGGCAAATAAAATGTTGTTATACCTCCAGGACTGTGTGTTGTCCGGTTACTGGGAAGGAAATGGTTCTCTGTATACTTTACACCGCTCTATTCCAGGTGAAGGAGGTGGTTTCGTGAAGTCAACCGACCTAGTGGCCTCGGTCCCGCTACAGTTAGGATACATAGTGTTTGTAAAGGGCTGATGCTGTTTAGGCCTTGATATATTATCATGCTCTGATAATGCTGTAAAACCCTGGCTTGTGGTTAGGATGTGACACATTAGGGTATGCCCAGGGATTACCTAATACAGGACTCAGCATTTAGGTCCCTAACTGCACTCATGTATAAAATTTAAATATAACATTATCTGCTCAAAGGTGAAGATTATAATTTATCAATGTAAATTATGTTTATCATAAAATCAGAAATGTTTTGGGGAAAATTTTGAAGTTTGTAATATAAAAATAAATAGTGTAGTTATATTTTAGTTTGTTTGACAAATAGAAATGACCCTTTTGATTCCTAATTCTAAAAAAAAAAACAATCCCAGGTGCCACCTTGCGAAGCATGCATGATATAGCATGTAAAAAAAAATACCGACAATCCAGCTGCCTTTGCTAAACTTTCCATAATTGCTGAGGATGTGGGGTTTTTTTTGTTTTTTTTTAATATGAGCTTTTTTTTTTTCCTGAGAAAAGTAAATTCTTTAGAATATGTATTTGGGAGGGGTAATGCCATAAATATCTTGTCAAAGCTCTGTGTGACTCTTCCAGTGATTATTTGCCAACAAAACGCTTCATTTCATTAAGCATGCTTCAATCAGAAATCTGCGTCCTTCAAAATGGGTCAGATTCCAAGTATCCTACAGACAAAGGGTTTTAGGACAGAGAATGGGTCCTCATGCTATTTGAAAACAGTGGTGTGTTTGTGTTTAGTGCTTGTGTTTGTTTTGTTTGAAAATACACACTGACTCATACACACAGATACTCACTGACAGACTCACACTTACTGACAGGCATACTGTCACTGGCAGACATGCACTTTCACTGACTTCAAACACTCACTGACAGACATACACACTGCCTGACACACTGTCAATGACAGGCACACTCTCACTGATTTTTAAACACTCACTGACAGACATACACACTGCCTGACACACTGTCAATGACAGGCACACTCTCACTGATTTTAAACACTCACTGACAGACATACACACAGCCTGACACACTGTCAATGACAGGCACACACTCACTGACAGACAATTCTCACTCACAGGCACACACAGACACACACTCATAGACATACACACATACACTGACAGACACACTCACACATTCTGGCACACACATTCACAAATTACATTTTATTCATTGTTTTTGTATTATTATTTTTTTGGCACCAGGAGAGCTGGTGTGGGTCCTCTCCCTGTGAACAAGTGGTGGTCCAGGGAGGTTCCTGCAATCTCCCAGATT